ATGAGGATGTTAATGTTGTAGCACATTTTCTCACATTGGTCGGAAAAAGAAGCATATAGCTTATTAAAGACTCTGGCTTTACCGGAAAAGCCGACTTCGCTTCCTTATACAGCTCTCAAGGAACTACTGTTAGACTATGTTAAGTATACAAATTTCGATCGCGGTAAAGGGAGATTTCGTAAAATGATTCACAAGGATATAAAAAATTCCACTACATTACGTCATCCCAACCCAGTGCATACTCAAGGTTATGCAGATGACTCATCGAGGAGTTGCGATGCAGTTCACGAAGATGGGCACAAGTTTGCTCAATGTTTGTCCTGTGGCAGGTTCCACTCTTTTAATTCATGTAAATTTCGTAATTCTGAGTGCTTTAAATGTGGTGATATTGGACATATTCATTCAGTTTGTAATACTACTCCTCATCTTGCTGCAACTAATATTAAGTTTTGTAATTCTGATTATATTAAGTTGAGTATTTATAATGATCATCTATATTTATCAACGATTTCCAAAGACAGTGTTGAGTCATATAGCACTTCAGAGTAAAATGAAACTCAGAATCCATGCGAGACAACAGTTTCTAATCAATCGACTTCACAGATTTCTCATGTTATTGTGCCAGATATGGTTTTTCCCAGTGATTCACTTATTTCTGACGAAATTCCTTGCAAATCTGATGAAAATATGTTGAATAAACCTAGTCATGATCGAAAACTTAATGTAGTTTTGATAGATGCTGGTTTTTCTAATGATCCACTACTCTGCAATGACATTGTTAATAAATTCGAGGAAACCATTTCAGAATAGTCAAATCTTGGTGTCATATCAAATATTATTTGTCCTCATAATGCATTTATTTATTGTGGGAAACTTTTTCAGTGCGAAGCACGAGCACTAAATGAGCTCGATTTTGATTACAATTCGGATGATTTCATATCAACTGCTGTTTATCCTTATCACAAAAACACTTCTAATGTTTACTCTAACCAATGTCGGACAGACATAGGATGAACTTAAGAAGACGTACAATCGATTACAGACACTTATACTTCCATTTAAGCTGTGGCGGATGTGGTATTTAAATGAACTAATGATTCCTTTGTACTTGTTGAATGCTTGATTTAGAATTCCGAACGTAGTGCTTTCGTTCATGCTTATCTAGTACTTCTTGATCCGATTGCGTTAGTTCTCGGATTCTTAGTTCATACTATAATCCAAATACTCCTAATTATCATATCTATCTACGGCTTACTAGCTTTAACTGCTCAATATGCTTGTATGTGGTGCGCGTGAAGAAAGAGGTTTCTAATGGGTGCAACATATAGACATCACTTTAAATGAGCCTAACATCAAAAACGGAGGGAGGGTATAGTTACTAAGCAGCAAAGATTGATTTATTTTCACCCGTATTTGGGAAGTGGGACATCTTGTTTGCATTAGGTTTTTTGGTCGGTGATGAGGAAACCAATGAATATTCTTCCATGTTTTACGCTTCTTAGAACCGCGCTTTCCATCATTTATTGGTTTCCCAATTTTATTAGTTCGACCTATAACACGCGAATTCAGACGATTAAGCGCAAACTGAATGACTGGCTCCCAACAACAATAAAACCAAAATAATTAATTGAAAATAACTTTAATTGTAAATTTATTTGAGCATCCAAGCACTTAACGTTCCTGTTGACTTTCCAGAATTAATAAACGTTTATCTCGTCATAAAAATTCGCCTTTTTTCCATCAATTGAGAACTATCTAACCTCCATAGTTCACCATGTACTGAATTTAGTTCCTTTGGTTCATCTGTTATTTTCACAATGATAGTTTAATTTCGATGCCTGCTAATAACCCGCTTCATTACAAATATCAGGTTTGTCAACCATCTGATATGATGATGCTCCGGTTTTTCCCCACTCCACTTTACAGAATCATGACTGGAATATGAAACTGTGAAGCTACTATTATATGTGCGCTTGTAGAATTATGGTCTACTGTGATATCAGTACCGCAGTAATAACAAACGTAGTCCTAAAATTGCAGATTTGTCATGATGTAGCTGCCTGATCTATGACATCTTACGTGGAAGTCACATAGTTGTCTATATTGACGCATCTATTCGTAGCAATCATCAATATGTGATAAAGAACGCACTTAGGCTAATTATAGAACAATATAATAAATATTAATAGAAGGTATATAACAACACTAAACAATGACCACTCCTGCAAGGCCGAGACATGCCATCTGATGAATTCGAATTAACTCAATGCATTTTTCCAACCTATTCTATCGTTGGGTTTTTCTCTGAGGTAAATGTTGAATATCTTTTTAACCTGGTGTCTCCTGTTCAACTTCGAGGATTATGTGGCTAGGGCCCGATGGCACCACACGCTCTCCGAGATCACGGTTTATATGGAGTTCCATTTTCAGACAGATAATGACATCTTTGAACCCATAGAGTGACGGCTGCATACTAGAGTGAGGTAAACCAATTTATTATGTTCGAGTTTGGATCAATCTTTGCTCAAGGACTTCTTCCTCTGTTAATATGGAAAAGCTGATACATATAAGTCCTATGTTCGAGATTAAGACCTACCATTTGTAAGATTCATTTCCGCATTCCCTCGTCGGTGTTAAATTTGATAAAAAATCTTGTTATCCATCTGAAACATTCATCAAGCAAACATGAGAAACCAACCTACTAGTCGATGTAAAAAAGGAGGAATATGGAGCTTGTAGTAAAAAACGGCAAACTTTCGTGAAGATATTCTTGTCTTGACGGTAGGATGTCGCTTGACCCATAGCCGTCGATTTTGGCCGTTCAGTTTCTGTGAGTCTTCAACTAATGGTTTCGAATTGATTTCTTAGTCATCAGAGGAGCTCGTATGCTGATTAGCTTTATGTCTTCCCCGCGTATTTTGGAAAGACCCAGTGAGTCCACTTGGTTGGCTATGTCAACAGTGAGCCGGAATACGATGACCTTGAGGCCTTTATCTCCTTATTGGTGTAAAGTACTTGACCAATATCAACCCCACGAGTGAAGATTTAGTCATGGACAGATGAATAGTGCTGTTCTTAGTATCTGATAAGTTCTACGAAGTATTGAAATAAAGCTAGTAAGATTATGGTTTCCAAAGTGGTAAAGGCGTTTTCCAGTGAACGCATCTCTAAGTTGGTGCAGTTCATAGATAGTACATTGAAGTCATCTACCATTAGAGTTCTATCAGTGTCTGAGTATTATTGAAGTTGATTTCGGAGAAAATTATTTGCCATATATTCACGGCTACGGCACACCACAACGAGTTCGATATGTCGTCCTTCATAATTTGGTCAGCATATAACTAATTTTCATGTTATTGAGTTATGCGTCACTGATCAAGAAGCAAAGATCGTTGAGATATCTTTTAGGTACAAGATGACACTACTGTATATATGGCTTAGCACGTCAGTCCTACTGTATCACAAAACACTGGCTGAACTTCACAACCACTTGTTTCTGACGCAAGACATGTCCTTATATACCCCATATTCCTAAGCTAGTAGGCTGAGAAAATTTGCATAACAAGCATTTAGTTTAGTGAAGTGCTGTTCTTTGCAATCAAAAGTGGTTCGGAAACCGCTTCACTCCAAACTTTAACTGGTTAGAGGTTTTTTAGTTTCATATTTTTGTTGCCGATTCGACGATGACTAGTGATTTTCATAGGCTTTCTTTTACAGCGGTCAGCTATAACAAAATCCAGGAAGATACTAGTCTTAGATCCTTTCAGGTTTGCTCTTCACTTGATGCAGTACTCACTTTCAAAGGTTGATTTAACTTCTGTCTTTTTGAACTTGTTTTTCGCTCCACGTTTTAGCTTGTGCATACTAATCCCTCAACGTTTCATGACATAGCCTGCATGATAGCTACCTAACATGACTACGCCATACCTTTGCTTCCATACTAAAACTATTTTAAGACTTCTACTGCTTATGCGTTGCCCAGACGATTAAGTGAATGAAATCAGATGGCCAGTTCTCATTTGCACTGATAATGTCAGAACCTGGAAACCCACAAAAAGCAAAAGGATTCACTTGAACCTCGGAAGTCGGAAAACGAGATAATATTTGATTTATCCAAAACATCGATCTTCGTACGACATAAAAAATTCGTGTTATCTGTAGTCACTCTATTCCAGTTATTTAAACATCAAGCGGTCTATATTCGACCATGCAGGGAGCATAGATGCTAGTTCAAACTGCACGGAAGATGTAGACACGGCCCAAAACTTATCTGACATTCTTAATTAATATTATGTTTATCACAATCGTCCATCTATGCTGCACATTTCGCTCGGCGCCACCAATGTCTATAAGTATGCTTTGACACTTTTTCCATTCACTCGCTTTTTCAACTAATTTGTTTACTTTTCTTAACAATGGTCTTCATTTCTCTCATCCTCATTCTGATTTTACAACTTTTATGCTTCCACTAACCAGTTCCTGCCAAACATATAGTAGTCAGGAGCACCAGAAAACCTACTATATTGAGACAGACCAAGTCGCTTATGCTCAGGATAAGTTAACCCACTGCTAACAATGGAATTCACTTTGACTAATTCTGCCGAGTAGCTAGATTACGTTTTTGAACGTCATCGGAAACGAAAAATCGTACCCTAACACCATTAGGAAGGCGTGAAGAGATCATATTGTAGAACACCAACGTAGATGATCTATGTCGAAATGACCGGGAGTCTACTCGAGTTAAACTGGAATGGCGTGACGAACCAGCTAACGTCGAAGTTACACCTCGAGGTCAGCACCTTACATGGACTAGCCCATTGACGTATCAAAGTACCATAGATGCTTTGAAAACTGTACAACACAGAGGACGTTTTTACAGAAATATATTAGTTAAAGTAGATACAAGCGAAAGTAAGAACACTGCCACATCGGCCAGTTCATGGCGTACGATTAACTGATTCGCGTTGGTTGTCCTTGACCTTGACGAGGATCGATGATTTGTTCGACATTCAATGACCCAACTGCAGTATGATTTGGCTAGAGCTCAGTGGAATTTCACTGGCCCTACAATATGATTTACACTAGCTTGTCGAAAAGATACCTGGTATTGCTACATTCATCGTCATATGTGTTTTGATAGCCCCCAATAATTGTTTACTCACATTCAAAATCTGATCGATTTAACCACGTTTCCATTATTATTTATTCGGCAACTTGATTGCTTGAAAATGTTTTATCTCACTCTATTCCACTCTTGTCATCTGGTTATTCCGATCGAAGATAAGTTTGAAAATGGGCTCAGAAAATTGTTTGTCTATTCTACTTTTTGTTTGTGTAGTTAATGTAACTAATATGTCAGATAAAAAAAACGTCTTTCATGAAGATTTATTTGGAAGTGCTTTTGTAGACCAGAATGAATCTGCAGGAAGTGATTCTGATGGCATCAGCGATAGCGTTGTGGGGAATGTGAGTAAATTACTAGTTATACCTAATGGATACACTGGAAAATTACGAAAAGGCCATCTAATCTTCGACGCATGTTTCGAAAGTGGTAATTCATTTGCCTTTCCTAATTATCACTAAGGGAATCTTGGAAAGGTTGTGTACGTCAGTGAATACGAGTATGATTTATTTATACGTCCGGATACATGTAATGCACGATTCAGAGTGTGGTTTAATTTCACAGTGGAAAACACTAAATATGAACAGGTAATACTCATAGTCTATCATTAATAATCAGAGAGTAATTTTCAATGTGGTAAATTTTAGCAAGACAAAGTCTTTATATCGAGAAGGTATGTCCCCAGTTGTTAAATCGTCTAGCCGTCCTTCCTGGTAGGTATTGTTTTCCATTATATACCTAACTCAGGTCTCGCATTCCACAAAAATGTGTTTTCTACTACCGATCCCCTGAACAAAAGAAAAAATACGTTATGTCTTTCGCATTTTCTTTTGATTGTGAAGAGGACGTCTATCAATTCGCGTACTGTTATCCGTATACTTACAGCAGACTACAGACGTACTTAGAGATACTAGAAACTAAACATTATGCCCATTTCAAGAGAGAACTTTTGGGCCTGACAGTAGTAGGTACACTTACTTTTAGGCGATAAGACTAATTAGTTCTAAGCCAACTTGTAATGTGCTTTGCTGAATTCTCGCGAACTGGCTGGAGTCATATATCTTTTCTTTAAGATTTGCTATATATGAATTTAGACAGTAAATCTGATGCAGCTTTACAGTCTTATCACCCAGTTACTGTACTGTCTTTAGAGCTTTTAATATGTATTGTTATTTGAGTGAGTAGCTTTTTCAGAGATAATACTTGATTCAGAGATTTTTGTTGCTTGGCTACCATTATGTCGTGTTTCTCTGTTGGTCACATGTGTTTGAATATGGAGACGTGAGAAGTTTTGATATTCTTAAGTAAAAAGAGGTAGATTTTAGAGGGGTGACTTTTGATTAAAAATGGAACCGTGATTCTACTTATACGTCGTTAATGAAATAGGTTTGTTTGGTAACAGTTATACCATCGAACTATAGTATAGCTGAGCCGTTTTCCGTAAGTAGAACAGTAAATTCTTATGGAACCACACAGTAGTTTTGGTGAAACAGTAAAAAAAACAATACTACTAAATTTCTTCCGAATAATGACTAAGTAATGATTTCACTTAACTTTTCCATGTGAATCAAATACGCTGACTTCGATAACTGTGTCAATGCTGTGATTTGGCTATTTTCTCGAACTATTGCGTCTCTGTGACAATTTAAAACATGATATTTGAGGGTAAACATTTCCTAAAAGTCTTATATTGAACATTTTACTAAAGGAAAACTGTCGCACATACTAAAACCTGTAGGCACTGACTGTTAGTCATTCTAATGGTAGTATTTCACACATTTTTGATTCAGTTTGAATATCATGTTTTGCTGATGAATGGTTGTCTGCTAATTTGATTGTTATTAGAAAGGATACTCTATACAGAAATAGATATCGTCTTTATCCACTGCCCATTCTTTCTAGAAATCTGTCAAACAGAAAATTCTGCCGACATAGTAAACTCATAACGGAAAACAAGTAATGTTTGGTTATTGTACTGCGACTTGTTTATTGAAATGAAGCAACTACATCTTATCTTAGGCAGTTGGTGTAATGAGACAATTTTTGTTTCTAATTAAATTGAATAACCTTAAATATCCAAATTTTTGAATAGATTTTATTTACAAAACCCGATATATACTAGGCTTCCGTATTTATTGAAATCATACTCGTATAATACGCATTTAAAATGAAATCACTATGGATACTTTTATACCAGCTATAAACTTAGGGAGCGATTTTGTTTCTAATTAAAATATCAGGAATATTGACTGTCTCAACGTCACATTAGTTGCTTTACTTTTAGTCTGTTATTCTCATATAGATTGACTAAACATTACGACCCACTCTTGTTCATCAGGTATCAGTTCTCTCAACAAGTCATTACTTCCAATTATAATGAAAAGCAAGTCTTCCTTCTGAATCCAACAGTTATTTGAAACTGCCGTAAATTCAAACGTCAACCAAATGCAATTTGTGCAAAATGTTGAATGGAGCATTGTGCATTGACTTGTTATTCAATAGTATAAATATTGTTATTTCGCACGTATAGATCAAATGTGAAACCTAATCCATACTATGGAAGGGGGAAATTAATGTGCTTTTCCAAGTGATTCTTTAAAATTACTTATAATATTTCGCGTGATATTTTATTATATTTTGCGATTAGAATAGAAAATTAATTACTTTATCTTAACTCTATTTTGTAGCCTTCTAAGTTGTAAGCAAATAGTTAGATTAACTTTAGAGATAAGAACAGCCAAACTCCTTTTCGATTGTTTTTTATCACCTTTGTCATTATGAGATCAATGTACTGCCCTACATATTTGTATAACACCATTTATCATTTTGTGCCGTTCGTTAATTCATATTCTTTCATTAGCGAGAGATTAAACACGTAGTATTATAATGATACAGAATAATGCAACTAACTGGCTTTTAGATGGTTATCACTATACTATGTAACACTTTTTTATGACACCCTAGATTGGTGTAAAAGATCAGTTTGTTCCATACAACACTTTCTATACTAATTAGTATCAAACTAGAAGTAGCAAAATGAATTTTGATCATGGTGAAGTCCATTGGTGATACGTATTGTATAAACTGGTCATTATCAGCCCACAATCCCAATGACTGGTTAATTATTCGGACTTAAAGCTTTACAAACAAACCTAGTATTTTTCACCTGGCCAAAGTGCCACTGATGAAATTCAATTTTAAAACAAGCTTGTCGAGTAAGTTGTCATTTGTTATCAATCCAATATAACTAATCGAACTTCAACAGGGTCGCTTGTGTTTGAGTCAGGATTATTTACCATATATATACCATAAAATACTATGATTTTAATTTCTTATGTTCATATTCGCAACTTATCTCCATTTTACAAGCAACAAAGACGTCTAGATCTTATAACAATTACTCATCCTAGTAATCTCAATAAAACGGCTGACAAGAAACGTGTGATATTTGTGACCGCTCGTGTTCATCCTGGTGAAACACCATCATCTTATGTTTGCCAAGGTAATCAGATGTACTGTTTTTAGTTGGGGCATTTTCATGTATTGTTAAGTAGATTTTATACTTTATTTTGATTAGATTCCAAATTGGTAATGGTTGCTTGTTTGACATATAAAATATATTCCTCAAAGCTAGGTTTCACTGATATTAGATTTAATTACTTTAGTTAAGAATCAACTTAAACGAAATCTTTATCTCGTACAAATGACATCAATAGATTTCAATAAAATTAATTAGTGACTACAGAACGACCACTGTCAAACTATCTAGTCTTTAAACTGTATTAGTTAAAATCCTGCTCATTTTGTACAAAGAAACACACAAGTAGTTCTTAACGACTCAATGCTGAATATTATAGGTTAAGATTCCACAACTACCTGTATTACTTCAAATGCTACTATTTCTTTTTGAAAGCCAGTAATTGAAGCAGCGTTTCGTGAATATCATGGTTATTTCGTGCACAAGTTACTAATTACCATGTAAATATTAATTCACCTTCAATGAGATTTAGCATAAAGGCTATTTTTCTGTTTTCATCAACATTAATCTCTCGAATACTCTCAGAATCATACAACAACTCTAGCATAGTGATTTTAGATATCTCAATAAAATTAGCAAATGGATGAATAAATTATGGGAGTAAATAAATAAATAAATAAATAAAAGAATAGACAGAAACTAATACTTGTGATTGCATTATTACTACAAGGAGCTTGAGTTATCCCGTTGTTGATATTCAAGATCTTATTTTGATCACTGTCGCGAAAATTACTGGATTCTATTTTCAGTGTGAAAATTAACACTGAAATGCAAATACATCCATCTAAAGCACTTCAAATTGGAAAAGACGCGCTTCCTTAATGCTACTGCCAGCCATAAACTACTACTTCTGGAAACACACTATCAGTGAAGTTTTAGCAAAACCAAACATCCTTATTCAAACTTAAGGTTACAATTTTTTTACGGTCGTATAGATTACATGTCGGTTATTTCACATGGTTGCCTTCTGTTATGGGAACAACTGTTTAATGTACGATTAAGTCACTTGTGCTTAGCTTTGTGATAAATATTGTCACCGCGGATATTGTGGAAAAAACAGCTGGATTAACGCAAATAAAAACAAAATAAAAGTATTTGAGAAAATGAAAATAAAATCGTTTTGTGGTCTCTATGTGGTCGAATGTATCTCATGGCGTCAGAAGTAATAAGCCAGTTTCCCAAAACAAAACTGAGATTTCCCCATGCCTCTTCAGTTGGATTACGTATGATACGCTGATCAGTACCATTATAGATTACTTGATGGAATAAATGCACCTTATCTGCGCTCATATTTGGTGTGCTCGAAAAACTAGACTTCGTATTATGTAATCCAATAATTCACTGAATCAAAACATCCCCATAGAGAATATTCACCGTTTTTTGAAGAGCATTTCTTAAATTTGAAATGTTTGGCCTATAAGTTATAATTATTGCTAAAACATGCTATATCTTACAATCTGTTGTCCGTATTTGTAACTTATTTTTCTTTTGATGAATCTAATTGAACATAAGTTAGGGTTCTCAGAGGTAATAATTAATGAGAAATCTCTTTTGAGTCATGTGTACCTGGTTAATAAACTTGAGGTTAGACAGCTTTAGCCTGCTTCATTTAGTTTAATGGTCAAAATCTTAAGATTTTACCAGTCCTTATACAATAGATATAACTTACCACCTTTCAGGTAGACATGTACATAATCTCTGTGTTAGATGATTGCCTTCTTTTTACATCAAAACTGAATTATTTCGTTGTAGTACAAGATGATCTCAGTATAGATATACTTGTGTTTTTCGTCAAAATATTATAGGATTTATTGATTTCATGGTTAGTAATCATTCGATAGCTCAACAATTACGTGAACATTTAATTTTTAAAATTGTTCCAATGTTAAATCCAGATGGTGTTTATTTGGGAAATTATAGGTAAGTTCTGTTTTGTTTGCCGCATTACTAACAATATCTTGTCCGATTTCATCTCACTCTAGTAATACACTTTACAGTAAGTTTGTTGATAGTAGATATTTTAACTTCTAGCAAAATAATTCTGTTCTGTTTAGTTTTACAATAATTAAATTTTGCTTACTTTTCAAATGTCTTTTTGTAAGACTTTCTTGCAACTAATTAGATAAACACAAAATAGATTAACTCTAGTTAAGTATTTATTACCTAGATATGATAAGAATTAGCAAAAAAACTGGAAAAAGGTCAACATTGAAGGCGAGAGGCATTTTTTGAGTGGAGTCAAAATAAAAACCTCAACAATACTAATGAAGCAAGGAGAAAATAAACTGATATAAGTTTTGTATAATCCACATAATAACGATATTTTCTAGAAATGTCGAATTAGGTATGAAAATATCTAATCATTAGAGTATTTATTAGTCAAATGCATTAATTACGAATAAATATTTTTTCCTTATAGTCCTAAAACTGAAAGTAAACTTAAGTGAAACAACCATCTCTGTTTCGACTTCTTGTTACAGCTGAATTTTTGGTTAAAGATACACTTTAAAAGTAGGTGGGTGTTTTAGAGAGTTTTGTTTATTTAGAAGAAAATCCAAATCACAAACAAGCATCGTTTCAAGGATTACTTAAAATCAAGGAGCATTATCAACCTCATCAGCCCTAGATTTTTAAGGGTGGGGGTGCTCACTACCGTGCATCTACAACCCAATATAAACTTGAAATTGGGTTTCATAATTATTATTGCTTTACCACGGAGTCGATAAGTTGGAAGCAAGTGATGTGAATATTCAGGTCCAGTAAATCAATGGTATATTTCTTCGTGGTTCCTATTCAATGTCATTGTTGAGTAACTGTTTCATCTCTGACTTGTTTGACTCTGAATGGTCCTAGCTTGTAATGAGAAAAAGTACTCCTGAAGATTGATTTATTCCATGGTAAAGGTGAAGAGGAATTTATGACAAACTCGTTAATAGTGGATACGTATTCAATTCAACACCAAACTTACCATAGTATTTCTTCAATGTAATTTATAAACAAATTACAAAAAAATATATATAATAGATGTTTTAGAAAAAGAATCAGTGCAACAATGAGTGGAATACGTAAGGTTATGTTAAATTAGAGCAATAAGGTAAAATGTTGAAGTTTTTAGTAAAAATCTAAGATGTATGGCTATACCGCACCGCGATACTTTTTATTCACATTTGCCAACGTTTACAAATATTAAATTTGTACTACAATGAAGCTTTATTAACGAATTTACAAATGTAGACCTATAGTTAATGAATTTACAGTCTATAATCGTAATCAAGGTTATTTTGATGTCCTGAAATTATTTGTTAACTGTAAGTTGAATCATTGTTCATAATATTCATTAAAGCGAATGTCTAATTTTAGTAACGATTAATGATAGTTGCATGTGGTTCACATTTTAATTTTAGTCTCCTTTTTCTGTATGCTACAACAACTATAAAATGTGTGCCATACTCCACCACTGTAGACCAATATGATAAATAATGACAATAAAAACGTCTTAAAAGGGTTTTTTTCTTAGTCTAAGAAACAGTTTAATTCTCGGTATCTTTAGATCATCTTTAATGGGATTCGATTTAAATAGACAATGGCAGTCTCCATCCTTATGGGCACATCCTACTATTTATGCTACAAAACAATTGTTAATGAATTTGGACAATAATCCAGTAAGTTATAAACTTTTTGGAAACTTTTGTACTTGCAACGAGGCTAAAGTTAGTTCATTTTCCGTTTGTTACATATGCAATAACAAGAAACTTAGACTCAAGGTTTTCTATTAATTTCTTTCATCCATTGTAAACAAAATAAAATGAAGTCGATTTTCGATTGATTTTCTTCATGGGCTAGCATCACCTGGGGAATCATTGAAAAGTAGAAAAAGCTAGACATTTGTTTTGTTATACTTTAGTACTTCTCAGCAGTGTTCACCTTTGACCCTATTAGGTTGTAACTATTGTCCTTTGGGTTTATTACCCCGTGGTTTTAAATCGTTTCTCAGCTGATATTGGCATGTGATGAAAATGTATTTTATATGAAAAGATTACTAGTTCATAGTTCTGTGTTTGAATTTATCTTAATTTTTACCTAGTTCATCGATGTGAATTTCTTCATTGATATACATGCACACTCTACACTAATGAATGGATTTATGTATGGAAATATATATGAGGATGAAAAACGAGCAGAAAGGCAAGCTAGATTTCCAAGTTTGTTAAGTCAGTTTGCTGAAGACTTTAGTTTACCACAGACAAATTTCAATAAAGATACTTTAAAAGCTGGAACTGGTCGACGGTAAGTAATTTTTTATGTATCATGATATCTGTTTACATTATAAAACAGTCAATTTTTCTTCCAGTATTTGAGTTTGCTTGTGGTTTTTAATCTGATTCACTCATAAATAAGTATCAGAAACTAATTTTAACTGTGAGAAACTTAAAAAACGGTGCAAAATATTTAACGATTCTTTAGAAAATAATATAAAATAAAAGTGACGAAGAAATTTTATGTGATTAGATCGTTGAATTTTTTTACGGGTAAGTTGATTAAAACCGATAATTAGATTAATCTGGACCTAAATTTTATATTTCCTGATATTGTTTTGTGAAACTTATTCACACCTTGATGAAAGCTTTTGCGTCTGACATTTGGATTGGCGTTTTGTAATGTTGATATAGCGGTCAGCTGCACGATTGCATAGTGATCAGTGTTACGTTTTCATCCTTTCTTGACATAATAATTTCATAACGGTTGTAAATCTAGGAAACCAGATACTGTGGTTCACTTCATTCACCGATATTGTTTGTGACTTATCAGTTTATTAATAATGTTTTCAATCACAGCTATAAGCGATAAGATTCGGAGTTTCAATGAAATAATGAGTTTGTTCGACATGAATATACAAAATCATGGTCCCTAAATCTCAACTGACTACTTTTAATCATCTAAACTCAAACTGAATTTACTGAAATACTGGGTCACTTAGATCACCTACATTTCTATCGATACATATTTTGATTAATTCTAAGATCTATAGGAAATGGTTATATAAAACACTTCCCGTTCAAGAAATCTCTATAAATTGGACCTATTATTTGTCGCGATATTGAATCGACGCGTGGGAATTATCAGTGGGTATCAACATCCCTACGGAAAATTATTAACAGTTTTTGTTTACACTGTTATAATTGAAACTTTATTCTCTGATTGCACTCAAAGTGTTTAGATAAAAATGACAACTGAGTCAGCTGTATACGAAAAACAGCTTTCGGAATACAGCAACTCATTTTTAGTGGAAAGGTTTACACCATCGTATTTTACTTATGACATTTATGGTAAATCCTCTGATTCCATTATTGTATTCGTCAAACCCTCGATACTTACGCATGTTACATCTCGTAGAGCATATACTGTCCGCCAGGATTTTTCAACCAACTCTGACCTGAGCTCTCCTCCTAGTTGTTTTCAAGCGCGATTCATCGTTTTAATGTCTGTCTCCCATTTCCGGCTCAATTTGTTGTTTGGTTTGCCTCTTCTCCTTTTGCCTTTATGACTACAAGTTGGGCCTTGCCTCATGATGCAGTTTTATGATTTTCGTACTGTATGTCCTACTGACCTCCAACGTCTTTACCTAATTTCCTCTCCAACTGGAAGTTGGTTTGTTCTCTCCCACAGTAGGCTGTTGCTGATAGTTTACGGCCAACATACTTTGAATATGTTTTTTAGACAATTGTTTATAAATACCTGTACATTTCTGATGGTGGTTCTGGTTGCTCTCCAAGTTTCAGCTCCGTACAGTAAGACTGTTTGGATGTTCGTATTGAAGATTCTGATTTTGAAGTTAGCTGACAGTTTTCTGAGTTCCATATATTCTTCAACTGTGGGAATGTCGCTCTATCTTAGTAATCCGTGACTTAACATTTGCATCGAGTCTTCCTTGTTTATCGATGATGCTACTGACCAGGTACGTGAAAGTTTCCACCTCTTTCAGAGCTTCTCCATCAAATGTGATTGGGTTGGTGTTCTCCGTATTGGATTTCAGGATTTGTTTCTATTGCGAATGTTATGACCTACCGCTTCAGAAGCTGCAGCTACACTAGCTGTCTTCATCTGAATTCGTTCGTACGTATGGGGTAGACGGGCCAGGTCATCTGAAAAGTTCAAATTGTCTGGCTGCATGCATGCTGTCCGTTGTATACCGTGCTTCCCCTCAAATGTAGAGGTCTTCATAATCCAGTTAACCATCAGAAAAAAGAGAAAGAGGGGAAGTAAGCAGCCTTGTTTGACTCCGGCCCTCACTTGGAATGCATCTGTCTGTGAATGTGAAGCATCGTTACGGTTTCTTTTATGTCTGAATTTAATGCTTCAGATGGTATGTTGTTTGGTTCGTCTGATTTCCTACTCTTATTTTGTGTGATGGCCATGATGATTGGTTCGATCGTTGGTAGAGTGACATCTATAGGAAGGTCTGTGTATGTCGCCTCAAAATCTGGTGGGTTCAGTGGAGCTGGGGTATTCAAGAGCACTTCGAAATGCTTTGCTCACTTATTCCACTGTTCTTGAATCTCAGTGATTGACTTGCCTTATTTGTCTTTGACTGATCACTCTGGTTTACTATATTTGCCTGTCAGTTACTTCGTTGCATGATATATTTGTCTCATACTTTCTTCGCTGTCAGCTTTTTCCTCTGGCATTACGTGGTCTTCCACGTATTTCTGCTCGTCGGCTTTAATGCTCTTCTTCACTCACTTGTTTGCTTCTGTGCGTTCGGTCTGTGCCTTAGTTTCCTCTGCTCTTGTTCGACTGTTGTTAGTTGCTATCTACCTGTTCTTCCTTTCTCGAATCTTAGTCAGGTTCCCGATAGAAATCTATTCTTCATGATGGTGCTTCTCGTGATCCTGCACCTTTCGGTACGTTTAGCTTGGTGCTTCTTTAGTCCCTTTCCAGTTGTTCCCCATACTAGTTTCACTTATTTAAGCATATATTGTAGGGACTGGAACCTGTGATTGAGATCCATCTTGAATTCGTTGAGTTTGTCAGTATCTCGAAGGAAGATTGTATTGAACCTTTGTAATACCGTATCCACAGTTGTCCAGTGGTTCTTTAGCCTCAGCTCCTCTCCTGGTTCTCACCTCTTCCATTGACCTTCTGAACATTTTATTGATGCAAATATAATCGATCTTATTCTCTGTAGTGTGATCAGGTGAGAAACCTATGTAGCTTTGTGTATGTGTTTATGGGGGAATATTATGCTGCCTATAACCATTTTGTTGAAGGCACATTGATTTGCATATCTGCCATCATTCTTGTTCCTTTCTCCCAGTCCATGTTATCCCATGATATCTTCATACTCGGTGTTGTCCATTCCAACTTTGACGTTGAGGTCTCCCATCAGGATGGTAAGGTCTTTCCCTGGCTACTTCCTTACGATCAACTGTAGCCTCTCATGAAACCGATCTTTATCGTCTTCATTGCTTTCATTGTTAGGTGCATAGCACAGCATAACATTCTATGCAATCCTCTCTTCCTTCGTTTTGAAGAATGCTTTGATGACCCTGGATCTATGAGATCCCCGTTCTTAGTGCTTTTCCTGCTTCTTTGGATCGGATCAGTACAACTCGTTGTGTGTGAAAAACATTTCCTTCTTCATGCTAGAATGCAACAACACCTCTCCAGAATCTAATCTTTTCTGTCCAGTTTGTGTCCAATGGGTCTCACTTATTCCGAGAAGCGCCAAGTCTTATCTCCTAATTTCCTTAACAATTTGACTGGATCTCCCGGTTTCTTACATTGTCCGAACGTTCCAAGTACTTATGTTAACTATTGCTCTGGTTGTCAGGATGGGTATTGGGTATCGGCCTTGCGGCTTTCTAAGAGTTTCGGCTTTCACCATGGGGTGTCATAATTCTTATGTTAGAAGACCCTTCAACTCCCAAGGCAGAGTTCAAGTGACTTTTCATGGTTAGCGACTTTTAGAAAGGTCGTTTTCTACAGGATGGGTTCGCTGACCTCATGATCAACCCTTCTCCTTTATCCAGGCCTATGATAGGTAGTAAACCTAGGAGAGCTACAGACAGAGTTCAAACCCTTGACAGTACACACACATTACTACGATTCCAAATCTTCAGCCAGAGCTCTAGAAGGTTGAATAAGTGGTTATAAGTGTATTTGTTATTTAAACAAGGAACTCACATGATTATGCAGTTAAACCCAAGGTTACGATACATCACAGTATGCAAATCCAAACACAACTATGATATTTGTGACTTAAAGCTGAGTAACAAATTTAGATTTTTTACTGCAATTTATAGATAGTAAAAGAGGTATCAACATTTAATAACTAAAGAGATGACTTACAATTTTAACTGTCGAAAGCCACCATAAAACCACTGTTTCGGAAATTACCACCATCTATAAACGAATTTACTAAAGAATAACCACTCCATGTTTGAGATTTTTTCTTCAATCCCATTCATAACTGTGGGTTATCGTTCTGATAAACCTTCTGTTTAATCGTAACCAGATTTCTCGTTGAGTTTATCATTAATTGCCATTACTGATTAGCTGCTTGACAATTTACTAGTTGATCAGCTAGCATTCTTTAATTGAATTTAAGCGTTCATTGTGATTATCCAACTTCAATGAATTTTTTCTTCTGTCCGTTCATCTCCTACATATTTTAACAAGTTATAAAAGCGAGAGTTTACTAACATGTCTTATTGTATGGCGATTCGGTTAAGATCGTTGTTTTAAGAGGATAACTGACATTTTTATAGAAGAATATCTATTATTAATAATCTATAGTTATCGTATACCTCCATCGTAGTAATTTGATTTGTTAAAACTATTTTTTATGTGCTTTCCTAGTTAGGTGATAAAATATTTGCTTGTAAATGTGATTATATACATATATGCTGCTTTTTATTACTTTCTTATAGCACATTGGGTGGTATTCTGGACGATCACACTATTTGTTATACATTAGAAGTTTCATTTTACAGTTACACAAATATGTTAACCAATGAAATGATTCCGTATACTGAAGAAAAGTGTATCCTTTAAATTATTAAACATATTTTCACTATATTCATTTACTTGTCTATAAATATTTATTAATATGAGATAAATATGTATTTCTTGTAGATGTTTCGGGTATAAAGTTTCATTTTCCAGAGAGTAAGAACAAAGATTTGAACAGAATAATGAGAATTTATTTTATTTCATTGGGTTCTCGTCTGTTACTTACAATCCCTTATGATTTAAAATCAAAATTACCATAGGAGATAACATACTTGTGTGATTGAAGTTGATTAGAGGTTAGTATGTATGTCATGATAGAGATAAGTTCCCAGAAAAGTTAGCTAATTGGAAGAAGTTTTGTAAACAAACACAATGTGCAAGAGAAAATTCTAGAACATTGGGATTGCAACTAAAGGTCACGGAGCTAAAAAAGCTATTTGATTGCGCAGTGAAGCAGTTAGACACAGGCTGGTGGCGATTAATGATAACATGAATTAAGGTCAGTCAGTTAAAAATAAATGTATGAATTTGAATGGATTGATAATGGTTCAACCTAAATGATTTTGGGAAAGAATGTAATAAAGTAAGGGTAATGTTAACACAATATGGAAAGATTTACTTCTGTTTCTTTTTGAACATGTAAAGAGATGGAAAAGATAACGGCTGTACATAACACCAGAAAGCTTTTCAGACTAATGAAGAAACTGGAATTAAGAAGTCAAGTGTGAGACGATCTTGGAAAAAGAGGACACTCTGATCTGCTCTCAGCTCAGACGTTTAGAACGATGGGTGAGACACTTTGAGAAGCAGTTTAGCTTACCTTCAGCTACTCTACAACTACCCATCATTCCCAAACAGCGTGAATGGAACATTGAAGTAGGTCCCCCAACTCTAGCTGAAGTTCAGAAGGCTATAGTTATTCTGAAACGAGGAAGAGTAGCTGGCTCCAGAGATCTTTAAGCATGGTGGTCTAATTTTAGCGATTAGGTTGACTAATATTTTAGCTAAAATCTGTGAGTTGGACGTTATCCCATCTGACTGGTCGCAATCACTGATCGTCCTAATATATAAGAACGGGTCAAAATCATCCTGTGATAACCATAGAGGGTTTAGTTTGTCTAATATGGCGTCTAAGGGATTGGTCTCAGTGATTATCGGACGCCTAACAAAGACTCGTGAACTGGCAAACACGAGAAAATCAGGCTGACTTTAGACTTGGTCGTGGCTGCATTGATCACATATTCGCCATTCGTCAGGTTCTAGAACACAGGCAGGTTCATCGGCGTCCGACAATAATGGTCTTTCTTGACTTAAAAGCAGCATTTTACTCTGTAGACCGAGAGGTTCTGTGACAGTGTCTGCCGTTGAAAGGCGTACCTCAGAAGTACATAAACCTTGTGAAGGCTCTTTACTCGAACACTACTAGTCGAGTGAGAGCTTATGGCGAACTGTCATCTGATTTTTCAACTTCAAATGGTGTCCGTCAAGGTTGTCCACTATCTCCATTTTTGTTTAGTTTGATCATAGACCTACTGCTGGAAATAACGTTCTCGTTCTTGAATGTTTGAAGTCAGACGGATTAGAGGCTTTAAGTAGCTCTTTTCAAGACATCCCTTTTGAGATAGAGCGCCAGGCTGATACATGGACATTTTTCAAGGTGGGCCTCCTGGAAGGAGACCGATTCCTGAAAATTCAGTCGACATGTTCTCAAAATTGAATCTAGACCCTTCTTACTGTTCTTCCAATACAACAAGTTTGGCAGATACATGTAAATATGTTCACGCAGTTGGTGGCAGTATGAAAGGTGTACTATGTGAAGTAAATAAGACTCATGAAGCCTTATACGATTCAGGAGTTGTACCAATAAACACAACTGATTATGCTAATAAGATGCAGTAAACTTGAATCGACGAATCTAGGTACAAGATATATAAGTCTAATAAGGATTTAACTGATTAAATAGAAGTTGATGATAACCAGGTTAGCGACTCCAAACAGATCACATGTTGTTTCAAGGCCATACGGAGGTAAGAAATACAAGTATGACAGGTTATTGTGGGTTAGTGCTTTATCCACCTGACCAAAGTCACTGTTCATAACTTTGTTCGGATTACTAGTATTATGTATGTATACCCATGGTCTATAAACATAATTTTTCGTCCTTTCCTTATAAAGCTTCCTACCCTTATAATCAGATAATAAGTGTTGCATCGTATTATGAGACAAGTCAGCAATACTCGTCTAGTATCACTGGGTTTTTCGATTATTTCATTTTCCTTAGAATTATTGATGCACCTTCCCAAATGAATTTAAACTTCCGCTTGATGAACATTGTTTTTTATTAATAATGAATGGTAATTTCATTCCTCATGGAGCATTTTATCGACCCCGAAATGTTATAACTTTATACAATTGTTTTTTTGTTGTTGACGTTATAGAATTCATAGCAAATTTGAGAATGATTGCATATACGAATAATATCCAATCAAGTTAACATAAAATCTAGTTTATTTTAATAATCTTTCACTTGATGATTCGTTTCATTTATCATGTAATTGACAAGCATTGCCTTAACCATCATTCATCATTTATTTTTGAACAAAAATATATTTTAGATGCTCGACTAGGCAGAAATTTAGCTAGAACATTTTATGAATATTATTCAAATGAAGGTACTTTATGTAACATGTCGTCGTCATCTAGAGTTGATTCAATTCATTCACCTGGTAATATTTCGATATCAAGCTATTCCTTACATAATAATCATAATTTATCAAATGTAAATTTAGAGGATGACCACAGTCAACATCATCACAGTAATGATGTAAAGAATTATGGAATAAATAAAGAATCAATCGTCCAACCCACGTCATCTAAAGACTGTTTAGAAGATAGACTAAAATATAATTATGATCAGTTAAAAAGATTAAATCAAACATTGAATTCCTTAAGCTGTTGTACAATATCAGATTCATTCTCAGCAAATGCACATTCATTGAGATCAACATCAAAAGATAAGAGCTGAACAATAAGTAAGCTAGTTATTCAAAAAATTAAAAGTGCTAACCCATTTGTGTAAATCCATTTAATTATGTTCTTTATAAGGCTGGTGATTAAATTTCTTTTAACAATAGCTAACAGCCTTGTATGGGCATTTCATTGAAATCAAACTATATTCAGTTAAAAGAAAAAATGACATCATTTTATCGGTGATTAGGATTATGGAAAAACGCCATAAAACTATTGTGAGATTTGTATAGTTTACATCATGGAATGACTTTAACTATACAATCAATAAAACCTAGGAAACACTGGATAAGTGTCTCATCCTGTTATTGAACTGCTCAACAGCGCACATCCACAACCTCGTCAAGGATTGAATGTATGACCTGAAAGCCTCATGATGAGTGCTTAGTCTTTTATTGTCATTGAATATTTTGTGATTCTACAGTAAATAAAAAAACTAGACTAAGTTAACGTCTTACTTTTAGAAGAATAAAACCAGTAAGAAGTTGTCAGTATTGAGCACAAACAAGTGTCCATTTCAATGAGGCCGAAAGAAATAAAAAACCACGTCAACCAACAAAGCTACTTAATTCACCAACCGAATGCAAAAAAGGAATTGAACATTAAAATGTTAGTTACTCATAAGTAGTATGGTTTTTATCTTGTAAATCTCAACAATGTCGTGTCAATACAACACAGTGAACAGAATTAGAATACACGTTGTTTTGCCATTTTCCATTTACTACTAGTTTGGAACTAAATAATTATGTACATAATATCATAAAGTTTTATATTGATCGTATTCTGTTGATTTTGAAGTTATGGTTTAATGTTGTTGATATTAGACTCTTGATAACTTGTTTGCTATTCATTTGAATTACTTTGATAACATCAAAAAAGCTGTACTATAAACTTAGAAAAATAAATACGATGTGATTCTCAGTATGTTGTCAACACCTATACATATTTAGCAGTTTCATTGATTTTTCGGATGATTAATCAAACTGGAAAATTTATTGACTGACTAGAGGAATATTTAAATCTACCAGAATTACATCGTCCATCCTCTGTGTTATATGACAAAATCGCAAAATTAGGATAAATGATCTAGAATTACATTAACTGGTCGTTGGATATTAGACAATATCAATCGAACATGAATCCTGATCGCTATACAAAATTCTTGATATTGAAGCTCGCTTTGTTTATTGTTAAACAATAGGAAAAACTCTGGACTTGCTTCTTGCCGATTGCCTTCAATCACCTGACATCCAATTCTAAGTTGGTTAATTTTATAAAAATAGTGAGCGAAACATACCAACTAAATAATAAGCCTTAATAAATTTTAAAATTTGGAAAGCTCGAGTGAAGGTTAATCCGAAATGGAAATTTTCCATTACATTCACAACAAATACTGTGTACATCAGATACTTAAATTTAAAAAAATGAAATGATTAAAGCATCTTTTTATTTTTGTCTTTTGGCTTTGCTTTAAATGTCTTTTTTTATTCCGTAGCCTAATAAATTGTCTATGATGGGGAAATGTAACATAATAAGTACACAGCGATGCCGAAAATTACTTCTTCACTTACTTCAGAATTAAAAATAGATCAGATGTTTAACCAATATTTTTCGCACTACTGGTTTATAATGTATTTGGTTCTTCTGTACATGTGTTTTATTCTTTCCTTTCATTTCTCTTTTTCTAGTAAAATAACGATAATAAATAATAAGAATGAATATTTTGCTGTACACTTCACTGTACTATAGTTTATCTACTGAATTGTAAATAAGCTGATTGAACAACTGTGCTGTTAATAGATCTATTTTAAAAAATGTACAGTTTAATTTAATGCTGATTTAAGGTTCATATAAATGCCTGTGTTGTTGTAGAGTTCTTTGAGATAAACGGTTTATCTATTGAGTTTTCATTGTTATTCTTGATAATATGATTGACGCCTACTTTATAAAGAAGTGAGCATTTTTAGTTATTCACTATGTATTGAATTAGATCGTTCTAATAGTCTTGTTTGTATTCCTAGGGTTTGTTGACTTCGTTTGTCCTTATATTTTTATTGACTGTCCTGTTCCGTTGATCTCAGACGCGCTTGTGTAACAATTGAAGCAAAGCTTTATAAACAGCAGTTTTAGTGTCACAGATCTGGAAGTTCTTTACGTAAGAAAGTTATTGTGATCATAACAATAGCCTTAAGTTATTCCCTAAATAATCGTCTTCCACACAAAAAAATATTAATGATCTAACTTCAGCAGAACATTTATTATAATAGCTACATCTCTCATTACAGGGACATAAAGTATTCTGTCCCAAATATGTTCGCTATCCTACTGTTTAAAATGTAACGTGTGAAATATATTTTTTATCAATCGCTACTTGTTTTTAATAGTTCTCATTTATTTATTTCATAAAATTCAAAATTACTCTAAAAAATGTGAGCTATATAATTCATAAATTCTACAATACATTTCTATATTTATATTCATGGATGATTCCATTCCTAGACTATATGTCGTTTCGATTAATCTTCTGCACTTCGTTCACACATTCATTGTATTGACCATTTGTAGTACATATAAGCGAACGGTATTGTTTTCAATTAGATCACCATTAGATTTTACTTTAATAGACAGGAATATATAAATGGGTATATGAAAATGGTAAGACAGGTATCTTAGTAGTTATAGGAATAATAAAAGTTCTAGTGAAGAGTTTAACATAGGAGTAGGTCAAACTTGGGTAAATAGACTTTAAAATCATAATTACAAAATGGACTTGGAATTACATAACAAATTTTGTGTAGATAATTAGATAGTGAGAATATAAATGAAGATGAAGAAAGATAAACAAATACAAGATGTGAAAAAAAATTTACGGTACGGTTAATTAAGTCATACCCAAACAAAGAAAGGACGGGGATGTCACTAATTTCTTCTGAACACAAACTAGGGCTATAGGTTCGGATCCCTCTACTTCTATATATACTATATGTAGAAGACGGGATGGAACTCCACTGAGTAACGACACAGGTACACGATAGGTCACATGAAATCACTGGCTTTTATCTACCATATGACTGATATCGACCACGCGTGACAAGATAGAGCTACACATAGTCTTTGGCCCTTTCCAAACCATGCTGGGAGATGTCCATTCATTAGTTGGTTGGATTATCTGTTAGCACGCCCAATATAGCCATCACTGGCGCAATGCAATGGTAGATGCTCATTGAAGAGACAAATTTAGGTAACTTATCTTTTGTGATCTGTTAGAAAATATAAACGCAGAAATAGCTGCATAAAATGTCCTGTTAACTGCCCTTACTAGTTTATCATGCGGGGCATCACTAGGCTCATACCCACTGAGTTATACCTCTAGGAAAAGGGACTTCTTACGGAGCGGTCCATATCTCCAACCCATTTGTTCCTGCATACATTTGCTCTAATAAATTCGGGTAACCTGTTTTTGACAGTATGTTATCCATAAACTGCAACTCCATTATCGTATCCTCTGAGTGGATATTTTTTGCTCTGCTTCCGAGAAATCGAACCAAGTTTCTTTCTTAGCGAATGAGTGAAAAACTATACAGACTTATCGATAACCTCATTGCTAAGAAGAAATCCGTCAAAATTGGGTCTAAAGGTGAAGTCACGGCTACTCACTGGCCATCTTTCTTAGAATACAGCAATTATAAATAACGTTAAAATACGAAGTAACAGAGTTGGTTCTCACCATAATTGATTGATTTTCCTGGTAAAGTTTAAAGTAAGTGTTCCAACTTTGAAGCTGTTATATGAAATTACATAGTCCAACTAGTTGTAGGCATTAAACAACCAGTATATCTAATAGTTTGATCCAGTACATCTAACGTTACTCAATAAAATAACTAACCCAACTTGAGTCACAAAACAATCTTCACACTACTCATCTTATTCCTCTGATTACAAATTCCTGAATACCGTATAAGAAATGTGATGAACGTCGCTAAGCTTATTTTTATCCTTGTATAGTGTACCTGAAATGCCATTATTGTATTTTTGCTGCACACCAATAACAATAGTTTATTAACACTGTATTCGTCACAAGTAATCCGCTACTTAGAACACTAGAAGCCGTAATGACTGGTCGTATGCTACGTGTATCCATAAGATTTACAACTCACGTAATTGTACATTTAAATTACTAGATCACAAATAAAAAAATCACATAACAAATAGATTCGTGACTTATATAAATAACTAACGATAAGCGATATACAAAAATTTATTAACTTAATCTTAAACAAAAGTTTACAGTTAGAAATACCGTAAAATAACTATACGAATAAGTTCACCGAAGAAAAAATTCCTAAGATTCATATCTTCTTTTCCTCACACCTTCCTAATAGGCATCTCTGTGACCACCATCGATCCCTACGGTTCTTGAACCCATGACATCCTGATCTGAAGTAAAATACTTTATTTATCAGGCCACAAGACCGATGTCTTTAGCATTTTGATAATATATTTTGAATGCATTTCACCATTGTGCTGAGAATTCTATATTGTGCCAAAAATATTGAATGGAACCATTAAGAATAATTACTATTATCATGAGTGTCGTTTCATGAGATATGGGATTTAGTGTGCTTAAGTACAACTTTAATCAGCACCAAACATAATCTAAAATCAGTAATAACAGAAGCTTTGTCTAGTTAGGTAGAACCATTCAAAAGCGTAATATATTTCACTCCCAGAAATCAGTAATTATTTACGAGGTTTGTAAAAATCCTGAAAATTAGGGTGATTTATAATTGTTGCATCAGAAGGAGTGTAAATCTAAACGACCAAAGTACACATAACTTCAGACCATTTCTAGGTGAGAAGTTGATGAACGAAGTACTGAGGAGCGCGAAACGTCAATTGATTAGATTTTAGGTAAGTTTTTTGGATATTGATCAAAGCGCTATTGTGTGAAATAATTAGCCTGGTTGATAAAAATCATAGAAAGCGTTGCACTGATAGCAAAACATTCGAACTAAGAAATGAGAGTGATACATAACAAAAAATATGCACAGATGTAAAACCATGTTATTCAGCGTAGGAGCCTCGCTTAGTTTTAAATGACCTGGATTCTTAACACATAACAGTTCGCGGAAAGTGACTCACTGCCTCGATGAGTGAGGCATATGGTTTCAGACCAGAAGATAGCGGGTTCGTGTCCCATTGAGGTCAATGATTTGCTCTCCATCCCCCTATCATCTCTAGGATTATTTACAACCAGTTATCGTAAGTGATTGACTTCAATTTCGGCCTAAGGTTGAACTAGCAGTGAAGTATACTATGAGGATTTTCACCACTAATGTAACTATTTGAATACAAATTCATCAAGCCTGTTTTGCAAGTGATTAGTCAATGAACACATCAAGATTCGTAAACGCTGTGCCTAAATATTTCGTAGACATATGATTGGTCATGAATGAAGATGATTCAGATAGATATTTACAATATGGAGCTTCCGTGTCTAGTTTTTATGGCCGTATATCTGACTCCAATTAGATCGTATGAATGTTATTGAAATATACATATCGGCTATCCTCGTATGTAATAATCCACTTAAATCGTGTTAGTGAATGACAGAAATAAATAAGCCAAATACGAGAATGGATTTTGAATATGTATATTTCATGCACTCATTGATTTGAACAGGCAATCAGGGAGACAAAACAAAGAGGGGAGAGCGAAACAGATGGGAGAAACGGAAAGAAGCGAAATGACGCGCAGTGGAGAAGGCGTGTAAGCCAACTCCATTTAATCAAACATTGGTCAATATTTATAGTCACACAAAAATAAGCTATAGACATGTGATGAGTAGGATAACAAGTGTACACACATGCACTCATATAAAGTCAGGATTGATAAGCAAATAATTAACAAGGTCAAAACATGACTGAAGAAAAATGGATAAGTTGGCCTGTCCAGAAGCTAGAATAAGTTATGTGGGCTTAACATAGTAACAGAGAGTCGACACTTCCTTCAGGTAGAGGCTTAGTCAAACACAAGCATGCAGAGAAAGAAGTTTTGATAATAAATATGATGCGCTATGTTGATCTGAAAAAATTTCACGCTTCTATTCCAAATAATGCCAAAACAATATGTGGAATGCCTCGGAGGTTGGCGAACTCTCAGACTTGACACTCGTAATCATTAGAAAGTATGTCCACAATCCAATATGGTATGCTAGGCCTCCGATTTTTCAAGTTTTCCTCCTGAGATGTGTGTTAAGACTGGTAGACATGGGACAGTATAACTCTATGAGGAGGTAAGCAGACAAGAGAAAGTAAACGTATACGCGTGCGTTGAGGACACGTACTCACGGGGCAAGGTGTCGGTCATAATAAAAATAGAACATGTAACTGATATGCAGCAGCCAAGCAAACTATGAATAAGGTTATTTCGAATGTTGTAAGATGTAAGGTAGTAGTTGTCACTTTATGTTTGTCCACACCATAAAAGAATATTTCTTAAGGTAATTTATAAGGAAACTGAATTATTGTTGGTCTTAAAGATCTGGAAGTATAACCGCAGAGCCTAAGGGGAAACCACTTGAGGTCAATCTTTAGCTATATTTTTGTGAGTAGTTTTACAGGTGTTAGCTCAGTACTTAAAAAGATTGACCGTTAGTAAAGGAAATCTGTAGGTTAAGGTGAAGTACGACGTTTTTATAGTCAACCTTTTCTGACCCTCACTTTTCGTTGTAGGAAGGCACTATCTCTGTATATTCTAGTTATCCATGAGAAACATGTTGCGATTGTCACAGCTCTGTCAAGTCAGCACTGCGACTTCGCCCTCGGAGTTTGAGTTGTTGCTTTCATTCTCATAGTTCTTAACCGACCTCTCCGGCATAACAGGACCTAAAGGAACATATGTTCTGGCCAATATAACTCGAGTGGATCCCCGCATAAAGCAACCACAATCACACCAAAGTAACAACTACGATCGAATGTGAGTTTTTTCCGCCAGCATACGATCTTCTGTATACTTCGAAGTGTGATATGTTGTCCGTTGCTACGTCGTAAGCACAGCACTGACGAGACAGTAGATGACCATTTAAACAACGCCTCAATTTACATCTGTGTAATGAAATTGGTCAGGTGATTACCATGTCTATATATATTTCGTGTTTTAAAGAAGTGATGGGAGCTGGATCTTGTTTACTTACCTGAATGACAATGTACTAATGTGGTGATGCTAGAAAATTGTTTGGTTAGGAGTCTTGAAAAAGTGAGGCGAGAGAGTCTAAAATGTAACTCAAGCAAATTCTATTGGGCTTCAATGGCTTTACAATAACACAATACACAATGTATCTAAGGTCATTTAAAATCTGTAAGACCG